TAAGAACAGCTCAGTAACTAAGGTATAACACAAATCACTGCTGCTACCAATGATAATAATGATAAGGGAAATAACAAGGGAAGACAATACAACCACTCGCCACCTGCCAACTGATACCCAGCCTGACCCAAGCAGTGACCTAGCCCTTCCGGGTAACTACCCCCAGTTCATATAGTGGACATGACGTGGTGTGGTATGGAATACGTCTTTGGCTAATTTGGGTAAGGTGTCCTGTCTCTGCTTCCACCTGGCAGAGCATGAGACTCACAAAGTCCTTGGTAAGAGTAAACATTACTGAGCAACAGCTAAAAACATCAGTGTTATCAGCACTGTTCCCAGGTTGAAAGTCAAAAACACAGCACTGCACCAGCTACTAAGAAGGAGGAAGATAACTGCTACTGCTGAACCCAGGACAAATACCAAATTAGTTTACTCAAAAATAGCTTTCATCTTTTCAGAAGGGAAGAAACTGTAATTAATTTACATAATGAGTTAGAGTAAGTGACAGTGTTCTTGGGTTTACAAATAAAGGGAGCTGACTAGACGTTCCTGTGCTTTTCCTTTCTCAAAAATGCAAAAGAAAGCAAAGCCCAACCTTCCAGAGGTCTTCTGCAAGTAAAATATTTGAAGAGTAAGTTCCGTAGTAGAAGTTTGCTTTTACTGAACGGAAGGCTCCTCTGTGTCATTGATACTTGCATCATCAGGAATCATTCCTGTGTTAACTCTGTTGTTAGCACTCTGCTTCTACCTTTTACACTATTGATCTACATAGTTATAAAAGGAAAGGCAGGGGGAAGCTTTGCATACAGAATGGAGTTTACAGGCAAACAGGTACATGGGGAAAATTTCTGAGAATATAAAGCATTTTACTTATTCCTAAACTACACGTGGACTGATTGTCCCCACACAATATTAATCTCCCCCTCTTGTAAGTCTCAGATTGCTTGCAGTCCCTTTTATAGAAATAGGTGTTTGTAACTTTATTTTTCAAATCCTGATATGTTAAATTAACAAAACTGGTGTTTGTAATTTAAATTTAAAATGGACACTGTTTTAGTCTGAAGTCTAAAACATTGTGTTCAAAATGATAGTTAAAACTGGCTTGGTTAGTTCTGAAAGTTTAAGTGTTAACCTTTTCAGACTGTTAGCAAAGGAAACTTGTTTGTGCCCTTTACAGTCCTTCGTTATCTACATTTTTGTATTGCAGGTTGAAGCCTTCCCTGCACTTTGTCTCCTGGAATCAAGAGGGCTGGAAAACTGGTTTGTGTTCAGTACCTCCTGTGGGCCATTCCCATTCTCTTCTAGCTTTAGCAAACAACACCTGTGTAAAACCAACTTTCATTGAACTCAAAGACAGATTTATGAAGCTCTACAAGAAAAAGGTACAACTCATCATTATAACATCTGTAGCCACTAATCATGAGCATCTTGCTTTATTGAAGCAAATCTTAGTATCGCAAAGGAACTGCTTTAAGCCCAAGATTTTTGTTTTGTTACCTCTCAAGGAATCATTCCAATGGCTGCTGCTCAAAAAGTGTAACCTCCTTATTGATCTCTACCTACCAGGCTATATACTTATTTTCTTCAGCAGCGAGTCAGTATCTGACAGATCTGCCTACCAGCTTGTGGTGGATTGACTTTGGCTGGCTGCAGGTGCCTACCAAGCTGTTCTCTTCAGCAGGACAGGGGTAGAAAGTATGGATGAAAAGCTTATGAGTCAAGATAAGGATAGGGAGATCACTCACCAGTTTGTCATGGGCAAAACAGATCTGTCTTTGGGAATATTAATTTACTGCCAATTAATAACAGACTAGGATAGTAAGAAATAAAACTGAGAACATCTTCACCCCACTCCATGCCCTTCTTTCCCAGCCTCAGTTTCACTCTTGCTCCTTCCTCCCTGATCTTGGTGTCTGCAGGCCTGTTTCTCACATTTTTCTAACTCCCCTCTCTCACAGCTGTTGTGCAGCATTTTTTACCCTCCTTAAATAAGTTATCACAGAGGCAGTATCAGCATTGCTGCTGGGTTCAGCTTTGGTCAGTGGCACATCCATGCTGGAGCCAACTGGATCTGGCTCTGTCTCGCATGGGGGCAGATCCTGGTTATTTTCTCACAAAAGCCACCCCTGCAGCCGTGCACTCCCCCTCACTACTAAAACCTGGCCACATAAAACCAATACACAGTTTGGTCAGGCGAACCCAAAAACACAATATGAAAAGATGGACATATAAAAAATCAGTAATGTCGACTGTGATTTCATAGGGGATTATTACTAAAGTTGCTAAGTATTTAAACAAGGAATGTCAGAAGTCTTTAAATCTATGTCCTACAGTCTTTGCATGCTCCTCTTCAGTGTGGGCTAAATGATATTTATTGAGCCAAAAGGGTTGGGTGCCAAGAAAAAGGAAAACGCTGATTTTTTTTTTTTATTATTATTTATTTATTCTCATAGGCTCACCTTCACCATTATCTGCATGTAGATGGGATGGAACAAAACTGTTTTTCTGAAGCTATATCATCTTTGTCTGATCTAATAGAAGAGTACAATGAACTGGATGCCACAAAGGGTGGGCCTAGAACAGATCCATCAAGACTGAAGATAGTTGTTTGAAGAAGGAAGGACTGATTTAAAGAAAAAAGCAATCCCCCAAGCATCTGACCTTTGAAGCATGGAATTGAATTGAAACATGTCGAGCTATTGTAATTCCAAAGTGAGACTGGAACAATGGCTTCCTTGGCTCTGAGAGGCATCATAGTAAGTGACAGGCCCAGACTGTAAGAAAGATTTGAAGGCATCTAATTATGGTAAACATATCAGTAAGAGCCATCTTCCTAACTGTGAATTGACATACCATATGCTGTAAAGGGGAGAAGGAGAGGTTATAGCAGCCAAAAATGTCCTTTTATCAGATTTTCATCTTACAGTAAACTAAAGGCAGGTCTTGCTTCAAGGAAGGATCACTGTTGTTTTATAGCAAGCAACTACGAAGAGAAGCCTGCATCATCTCTTCAAAGGTGAAAGCAAGTCTGTAATGAAACTGGCTTCTTAAACTTTGCAGGATAGTCATAATTTCAGAATGCTCTATGTTCATAGTTGTAACATTTTTGCTTCCATGTTGCACTTAGTTGTATTAGAGCATTCTGAGTTGATATCAACATCTGCAATATCAAATTTTGACAAAGTTTTTGTTTCAAGTATTATACTTGGAGTATTAATTAACATCAATGATTCATATTAATGAATGCTGAGTTGCACTTGATAATGATATACCTCTGACTGAAACATGCACTTATAATGAAGTTATAATGACTGTTTGGAGAACAAAATTTATATGCTTAAAATAATGCAAGTAAAATAGATGGTTTAATAGTTATAATTACCAGGGTAAGTAGATTTTTATATTGCAGTAAGAAATTTTACAAAATAGGATATACAGCTGTTTCCAGTTGCTTGCCAGCCTTGGCTGTTTTAGAACATCAAGACTAGTAAACTCTTACAAGTCAGACTGGATCAATACAATGATTTCTTAAAGCTTGAAGTCCTTCTAGCAGAGTTGGAGGAGGTGTATAAATAAGCACAATTTTCAATGCGTAAGTCCAGAAGTATTCAATAAAACATTGTGATAACATTTGTTGAGAGCATTTTCGTTTAAGAAAACAGCCTAAAAGTAGTCATTTCCTTGAAATGTTGTATCTGTTATCTGCAGATGCCCGCTTACTTGTTCTTTACCAGTGTGTTGTTTAAATTCAGAGCACTAGAGAATGTTTTGTGCAGCAGATAAATCTGTCTGAGCCTAAAATGACTTCCCCTGTTTGAGACAGCATTGATGTATTTTAGTATTGCAGATACACAGTAGAAAATGTTAATTTGAGAATCGGGAATGATAGATGAAGTATTACAGAGTGGTGGGTTTTTTTCTAATAGGTCAGAGCATCTATGAATTTGCATGTATTTGTCTTTGTGGGCAACAACTTCTTATGGTGGGGTATGAAGCTGTCTTGCTGTGCCTTTTGCAATTGCCAGAAGTTATTGTTTCGGTAGTACTAGTGTTACATACATCCTTCTCAAGAACGTACTTCCACTTACAAAACCAATTCCATTTAAAAAGATGCACTCTTACTTTTATTTAGGTGCTTCATGATGATATTTAATGAATGAGTATTCCCATATGTAGTTTCACTATGAATGTTGGTGTGGCAGGGGACTATGCTAACTCTTCTGGGTGTGAATGTGCTGTTGCACTCCCAGCGGGTTACAGTCAATGGTGTAACTTGTCATACAACTTTGAGTTCAGAAAATATATCTCCTGGAGCACTGCAAATCCTCTGACATACACATGATGTTATCCACATCATCTTCCACCTAAAGAAGCCTTCGTTGGGACACTCAAACTGTACAGTGATCATTTTGGACTTATTAGGTATGCAGCATCGCTTATCCAAGCACACCCCACAGAAAGTTAGTTTGTAGCTTTGAGTAGTTGAGCATCCAGAGAAAACTAATTTCTCTGCTGTAGGAAGCTGGAATGTTGGTTGACATGTTTTCCCTTTTGGAATCTTTAATATAAAAACAAAGAAAAGCCTGTGAGGTTTTAAACATTAAAAACAAAACATAAGAAAAAAAATGGCAACATTTACATAGAAAATATTTTCTGAGCACCAAGACAGCACTAGCAGCACCTATATTTCAGGCCAATGTAACACTTTGTTTGAAATTACACATCTGTAGTTTACTATTGAAACCTGAAGACTGAAGGCAGAAAACAGAAGAGTTCTTTCAAAACCCTTAATAAAAAAGTCACTTTATATTAGTAGTTACAAATACATCCATGACTCCATTACTTCCAATATTTTCATGTTCTATTAGGAAGCCATTTTATATTAGAAAATACCTTTATTGTCTTCAATGTATTGGTCAGACAAGGCTGGATGAAGCATAACCTCTTCTCTTTTTTCATTTCACACTTGCTGTTTTCATTGGTCACTCTGCTGGATATGCCTATGCCACAGGTCCTGGAACACGGTGTCCAGGGAGTTGCCTGCACCAGGCACTTTTTCTTCAACACTAATGGTAAGCTTCTGTAAGCTAAGACAGCAATACATTATATATGTAGCAGAACAGCCCCAGGATTGTGAAATTGCACATGTTGTTTGACCCTTCAGTTTAACATGATAGAAATGTTACATGGAGAGAGTTATTTGTGGAATCTTTATGAAATGTCCAGAATGGAAGAGACATTGAAAATTAAAGCCAAGCGTAGCTTGAAAAGGAGTGCTGAAAACATCAGTGTTGGTTTCTTTGTAGATACTGTGAGGGCTTTAGCCTTTTTATTGAGGGATAAAATTCTCTAGTTGCTTACAGATACCACCAAAAAGTCTATTTCCTGATGGATTAGGGCTGGAGGAGAAGGAGTATACTTAAAAAAACCGTGGTGGAAAAGTTAACGGTGGAACTGAAAAACCCACCTGACTCTGTATTTAGTCAAGAGCATGGGCAGAATTACAATGCTACCTGGGAAGTAGACTGCAATTTAAAGATCTCATTGCAGCAAGCAGATTAAAAGTCTCTCAGAGATCTGCAACAAATAAAGGGAAGTTCAGTGGTCATTTATACTTGTCACATGTTTTTTAAATATGACCTTGGCACATCCCTGTGTGTCTGAAGGAGGTAAATCAAATTTACCAGGAAAGCCAGAAAACAGAGCAAGAGCAGTAAAGCAAAACTTAGCACTCGTTAGCCACACTAACAGAAAAAGACTCTTCAAAATCTGTATCAGCCTATTGAGCCACTCAGAGCTGACATGATACTTCTGCTGCACTGGGAAGGGGCAGACCTCACTTTGAAACAAAACTTCCAAGATGATTTTCTTCAGAGGGTTTATATCACCTAAGGAATAGCATCCTTCAGCATGTACAGCCATCGCAGTGACAGGTTGTTGGGTTGCCAAGGCACATAGGAAGTATGCTTTGCAAGCTGGATGGGTTTTCTCAAGATTGTGTTGCACAGCTCATTCAAATTCTAGAACAAACGCTGTGAGGTGCAGTGTTGCAGCCAATGAAGGAGTTACTACAGGCTGGGATGCAGCTTTTGAAGCGCTACAAAGTAAATGCCTCGGTCCTGTTCTCCAGATATCTGAAATACAGCTCCCCACAAACCCAATTAATATATTGCATGGGGTCAGATGGTTTGGTTGCCATTGTTTTCAAAGCTCTGTGTTTTCTCTTTGATCTGATTAGAGATGCTCTCTAGAAATGAAGTCATTTGAAGTCAGTTGCCTCATGAAGTGTGTGTTTGTACACAGCATTAAGTAGATTTCTGTAAAAAGGCTTTGATATGAATTATAGGTGTTGTATCATAATTTTGAAGTAAAGATGAGCTGCTTTTTGTTTTTTGCTAACTTGCATAAGTACTGCTAACAGAAGTTTTCAAAACTGAACTTTGGATTTTGTAAGTGGGTCTGTGTATCTGCAGATTGACTTAGATGCCTCTACCTATTTACTCAGCTGCCTTTTATGAAGGTTTTCTGATCAGCTTTGCAATCCTTTTATTTTATTGATTCACGATGATGATTCAGGCCTAATTTCCCCACAGTTCAAGCTGCCACCAAGTAAATGGCTCAGCTTTCTGGTACCCACAGCAGTTGTAACAGAGCTGAGTTTCACTGTGGAAACTTGCACATGCACAGGGAAGGAGACAGCGCAAGCACAGGCAGCTGTGGCCAGGCATGGGCCAGGATAGATGCTCCTGGCGATGCTGCTTCCTTAAAGTGAAAAGGAGAGCTACAGTGTTAGCAGAAGAGTGAGAATGAGGTTAAAGAGAGTATCAGCTGACCCTGGCAGAACTTTATGAGTAAGCTCTTGTAAGCTTTTGGTCAGACTGAATCAAGAGGAAATTGAGGGGAGCATTGTCCTTGCAGCAACCTCAAATCTTGTGAATTCAGGAAAGCCACTAAGGCACTTTTTACAATTTTCTGCTTTCTATTGAAAGAGGCCTCCAACACATTAGTGTTTGTATGTGAAAACCAGGACAAAGCAGGAGAAAGCGAGACAGGTCCTAGGCTGTGAAATGGCTGTCCACCAGCAGCCCTAATTGGTCTGATCTGATGAGTAGTAAACTTCTGCAGAAAGATGGGCTGGAGGTAGCTTTGGCCAATTCACTGGTGACAGAAGCCAAAAGGCTTTTTTGCTTTGCATATTCATTGGGTTTAGAGAAAAGAGTCTGTGACCTAAGAGTAAGAGGGGTAATTGGGACAGACAAGTCATCCTGGCAATGGCCTTCAGCAAGAACTGGGAAAGTGCCAGTGTGCTGCCCGCCTGGCTGCTTGAGCCAGGGACACTAAATGCAGCAAGGCTTATGGACAGAAACATTTACCAGTGTAGCCAGGCACACCTGACATCAGTCTGTAGTTTGTTGCTTGAAGCTGCTTGTGCTGTCCTGGGCCACAGATGGGTTGTCCGGGCTTCTTTCTGCCCGTGACCCTGCCGCAGGGACTTGCTGCTAATCTTGGTATGAATACAGGTGTACATCCAATTGCACCACTGATGCACAGGCACTTATAAAGTGGGTTAGGTTGGAAGGTCTGGCCGTTAAGATAATAAACTCCATTGATCTCACATCCCACAGCTATCAGATCTGCAAATGGTAAACAACAGTTACTAACACAGGAGGAGCACGTGGTTCCTGATTACAGAGTGGGAAAGCCTTTACTGCACCCACATGTTCTTCCCAGCACAAGCACATATTTCTTTATTTGTGCCCTGCGATAACTTACAGACACCTAGCTTTGAATCAGTCATCAACATGACTGCAAATAACAGGCTTGTGCACAATGAGCTGATTTCACTAATGCATACACAGGTATGCCTAAAGACAGTCCCAGCCCTACTCTCAGATCCCTTGACTGAGCAGTCAAAGGATTAAATGAGGATAAATTGCCTAGCACAGAGCTGTGCAGGGCCAGCAAGTACAGTTTTCCTCCAAAAGCACCTGTGTGGTCCCACCCTCCTGGATTTCAAGAAGGGAACATGGAAGAACAACTTACATGCACACACGCCTGTTTCATACCTAGGCTTGTCTTCCGAGTAGTTGCAGTAGAGGCCTTTGTGGGGATCACAGACATCTGCTTCATTGCAGGTCTCTCCTGACTGCTTGGCACAGATCTTACAGCAGCCACAACCGTCCTTCACCAAACTTATTCCAGGGGTGCAGGTTGGCACCGGAGGGCATCTGCATGGCCAGTGACAAACTTCCTTGCGCTGGTGGGTTTCACCGGTTTCTGAAGGTTTCTCTCCAGGCTTCACTGGTGAGCTGTGGAAAAACTTACACACGGTGGGATATTTTGAGAGGCCAATGTATTATGCATAGGTGCGATGGCATAAAACAAAGTTGGGATGGACAAAACTGTGACGCTGCATGAAGGCACTTAACGTTTCTCATCTCACAGGATCCAAAAGTGAGAAGCTGTGAGGTTTACGTAGGAGACAGAGGACCAGTTCCGTTGATCATCTGTCATTCATTGAGGTGACATTCTGCCAGTGAGCCTTACCTATTGCTGGTATAAAACACAATTCATCAGCCTTTCCTTTGCCTCCAAGAGAGAAAAACCCGTAGTAGAGCTAAAGTAGGGAAAAAAAGTATTTTCAAGTAGATGGTGGATTTACTTTAAATATTCTTTCCCACAAATGTCCTGTCAAATTAATTAACTTTTGATTCCTCCCACTGTCTGATAGCCAGCAACTGCCCTGTGTCCACTGCTGATGGCAAAAGTAAACCTCTTTTGAGAGTTCCTTTCACTCCAAAATCTGAGTAGCTGTTTGGGAAAGAACATGGCGGGATTTACAAATCCTCTTGTGCTAGATCCAAAAATTGGCTCCCAATAAGGGAGGCTAGTAGTTATACTGAGCTTAATGGGTCATTTTCTAAGAGTATTTGCATGAGTAAGTGTTAAACTGAATCCAAGGTTTAAAGGGCAAAGATGTATCTCTAAGAAAGAGTTTTATCAGCAGTAGGAAGCCGGGATCTAGCTTGAATTTACTGTTTTCCATATTCTGTTTCAGAATTTATGGGGGAGATTCCTCTTCTTTTTTAAGAAAAGGAAGTCCTAAGTAATTCTTGATAGGTTTATTTTTTTGAGGCATGGGGGAAGATTAAGTCAGCATCGAGTGTGAAAGGCTCTCTTTGAGATAGCTATATTCTATCTGCTTTTTTGAAAAGCTGCATCTAAAACATAACAGTTCAGATGTTAGCGTTAAATCTTTCCATGCTGCTGATTTCAGCAGAAATGCAGATTGTGATATAGTTATTCATCACGGATGACTGGATCCATAGTTAAGTTGGGGCACACACAGCACTTGGCTGCCAGCACAATGTAAGGCTTGGGAGCTGCTCTCAACAAGCAGCTCTGACAGTCCACAGAGCGAGAGTGACAAACAAGATCCAGCTCCTCATCAGGTGCCAGTATCACCACTGAGCTTGCAGAAAACAAGTAATATATATACATATATAGCCTATACTTTTTGTGGGCACATGAAGGCCACCTCTCAGTTTCTCTCTGTTCCCCTGAACTGCAGGGTTCAACTGATGTAGAAACCACCTCCAGCACAGACACTAAGGGAAAGCTGGGGAAGGGATCTTTTGGCTGGGTTTTCTTTCAGTTCAGCTTTGAAACTGGAAGTATCTGCAGAATTCAGCATTTCAGATGTCACATCCCATGAAAGCTCTCACAGCATAATTGATATGGCTTAATTGTGTGCAGCAGTAAATGACCTTTTAAAAGGCTTTTTTCTACCCCTAATTTCCATTTTCCATGGTCATTTACAACTATACTTACGATATCTTAATTCACAGCTACTAATGAAGCTCCAAAATAGTAGCTTTCAAGTTCTTTTGGCTGAATGATTTTTAAGATAGATATTAATTCACAGAGGCAATTCATATAATAAATGAATATTAATGTCATGTGGTATTCCATTTAGCATGCAGAAGATTTCTTCTAATATTTTTTACCTGAAAGCAGCAATAATAAAGAAACAACTAACTTAGGTATACTTCTTTTAGGCATCTAAGATTTTTCTATAAACCATAACGTTAATTTGATGAACATTTGCATTGGAGTGTAAAGCTTCTCCAAGACTTGTTCCGGAAATAAGACACACAGGTATTCCTATATATTTAGCAGCGTTCAAAACTGTATGGTTGTTTTAGGAAACACTTTCTTGCTGCTTTTCTTCTTTTTAAGCAGAGGATTATTGTTAGGAATTTGGCCATGTGCCAGCTATATGAGGTTATGTGGCTTAAACCAGATACTGCTTTTCAAAATAGGCATGTGTAGCAGGAAATAATCTGTGTGCTTCAACCCATATGTTTAATTTGTACTGCAAATTAAAACATGCTTTAAACCTACAAGATTCTACTTAAGCCAGTGATTTTTCTCTCCTTTCCGTAGGGAAAGATGTCAACTGAAAGGTGTGAGACTACAAAGTTTCGCAGAGAGAAAATCACCATCAGGCAAATACCTGACACTTATAACTGTAGAATTACTGAGGAGCTCAGCCTACCAGGAAAATCTTCCTGAAAAAAAATTCCCAAATCTATTAAGTTACAATGAAAATTTAAAGTTTGTTTGTCAAGTTTACAGCAAATATTTTTCTAATTCTTGCTTCCCAAAGTTTCTATACCAAAGCTATCCACACCCCACAAGCACACTGCAAGCTTTTCCTGACCCTATGGCAGAGTGGAAAATGAGATCATTGTGCGGGAACCCTTCAGGTGTTGTTGTTTGTTTTCTTACATTTTAAAGATTGAACAAGGTCTGGATGACACAAATAAGCAAATAGCAAAGGCAGACAATGTTTTATTGCTAATGTTTGGTTATCTTAGTCTGGCTTTAAATATGCAAAGCTAGCGGAGGGAGACACTCATCTGAAAATTCTCCATTTGACATCCATCTTGTTCGTAAAGGAAAAATACACAGGCACCCGCAAGTAAAGTGGGTTTTCAAAATGAAGTAAATAACGAAATCGGCCTTTGTCACAAATACCTTCAGCACAAGCTATCCTTTAAAGGGTTCTCATAAGAGACAAAGCTCAGGTCTTTCAGAGTCCAGGTGCCTTTCCCATTTTAAAACCCAGCCTGAAGTCAGACCACCCCTTACATGTACATATACATATATACATGTATATATACATTTCTATGGAATATAAGCACGGACAAAAATAAAAAGCAAGGTTGCTGGCAATTTAAGCTTCCCTAACACGTTTTTTTTTCACTGACTCATATTAACATAGAGATTAGAGAAAAAAAAAAAAAAATACCAAAATCAGGACTGATCCATTAAATAAGCTGCAAATGAAATGTACTCAGGCATAGCGAATGGCTCCTTATTCTTTAAGAGGAATTTGCTTCTCTGAAATTTATTTTGTCATTAAGCAAACAAAGGCTTAAAACTGGGACAGAGTGAAGAAGGGAGAAATCTTTTTCTTCTTTTTAATGAACTTACCTGCTGGGTACAAGGGATGATGAAGATGGTGGGAAAAAGGAGCCACCGCATGTTCCTGCACATTCAGAAGTGAAACTGGGAGATAGGGAACAGGCTGAGCTGTGTCAGAGGAAGCACTGAACACAAAGCTCTCCTCTGTCTCCCTTGCCAACCCTACTTTCCCCAGCACATGCATGAACACATACACGCATTCACACTTGAAATTCTCCACTTCATACGGAACCAGCTTCACACTGAAATTTCCAACTGATCTTTTCTCTCCCCAGTGCTAGAACACAGATTTTCACACCCTGCTTGATCCCATCCAGCTGCTTCAGCAGATTCTGCCTGACTTAATTGAGGTCGGGCGGGGTGACATCTGATTTTTAGTCTTGCTGGTGAAAATGCAGTGTTATTTTTAACTTGACTTTAAGTCCGTATTGCAGGAATTTCTGAAATCTGAAGGGCAGAGCCGCAAATACATGTATTTTTTGAGGCTGGGAAGAGTGAGTCTCACAACATTTCTAGTGTATTGTGCCTAGAAGAAGCACAGCATAAAAATTAACACCATCAGAACATGCTCTCTAAATATGGAAAGAGATGCTACCGTGTGAAATAACACTAGTACATACTCTGCGCTGCTTCTTTCCATGGAATCCTAATGAGAAAACCCAAATTATAAAAGTATGTTTACCCCACCTAAACACAAGAGCTTTCATATCTCCAGATTACCTCCTCCTTAATACTGTCAAGGTGACATGCCTGATTTTTAGGTTTACAGGTGAGGGTCTCCAGGATAAGATAAAAGCTCCATCCCTGCAACAGTGGCATTGGCAGTGCCCTGGTGAATGATCCTCCTTTGTGTTTGTCCTCACTCAGCCCCCTCCTATGAAGTCCAGAGTTCCTAGGAGAGGCTTCTAATGACCATGCTCACGCAGCGGCTGTGTGTGGACAGAGGTTCTGATAGGTGTATGGAATCAAATCCAGTCCGAGCAATTCTGTTTTGTTCCCCAACTCAGACTGCCATATACCCTCTTCAGTTATGAATGAATCCTGAACTGTCCTTCCAAACTCTTGAGCAGTGTCATGGTTTAACACCAGCGAGCAACTAAGGACCATGCAGCCACTTGCTCACACCTCTCCATGTGGGTTGGGGAGGAGAATCGGAAAAAGGTAAAACCCATCTGTTGAGATAGGAGCGGTTGAATAACTCGACTAAAATATAATATTATCATAATAATTATTATTATAACAATTGTAATGAAAAGGGAGGTAACAAAAAGAGAGAGAGTGTGAAATAAATGCCAAGACAGAGAAATGATGCACAATACAACTGCTCACCATGCACTGCCTGATGCCCATCCCCAGGGAGCAATCCATCCCTTCAAGCCAAGTCCCCTCAGTTTATATGCTGAGCATGATGTTCTGTGGTACAGAATATGCCTCCAGCTAGTTCAGGTCAGGTGCCCTGTCTCTGCTCCCTCCCAGCTTCTGTGCCCCTCCTCACCAGCATGAGGAGCATGAGCGACTGAAAAGTCCTTAATCAGGGTAAGCATTACTAAGCAACAACTAAAACACCGGTGTGCTATCAGCATTGTTCTCAGACTAAAACCAAAACACAGCACTGCACCCACTACTGGGAAGAACTCTATCCCAGCTGAAACCAGGAAAAGGAGTCAGCTGTAAATCACCGAAAAAATGTTCTTCTTTAGCACAACCATTTTGCCACATAATTCAATATGAGGTCCAAGCAGTACCTAGGTACTAAATGGATGCTACATATCAGTTCATTTCAGTAATGTTACTCTTGAGTGGGCAACAGTGCATACGAGGTCTGATTCAAGCTTTGTGTTCCCATTAAAAGCTTATGAACATAGCACCTAGGTTTCTCAAAAATCTCTTCTGTATACTTTCAAAACACAGCTTGTTTTATAGGATCAGAGAGTAGTTGAGGTTGGAAGAGACCCAGGAGGTCTCTAGTCCAACCCCTGCTAAGCAGGGACAGCTCTGAGATCAGACTAGGTTACTCAGGGCCCTGTCTATTTGGGTCTGGAAATCCTCCAAGGGTGGATGGAGAATGCCAAACCTCTCCTGTAGCCTTTCAGTGTGATAGTAATGAGCAATGCAGGCTGTCTGAGGAGATCCTACATACCATTTTCTCTCGCAGACACAAAGACACCTTTTTTGCTCTCCAGCCTGGATGAGAAAGGTCAGAGGACTAGCACATCCATCCTCCTCTCCCTGGAGCTGCAGGGGAACACACAGCATTCATTTGAAATACATTGTACTTCTTTGCATTGCAGAAAAAACCATGGGGCCAGTGCAGGCCTGGGAATGTTCTGTGTGAGCTGGCAAAGCCTGGTCTGCTGCGGATAATGGTCCCCAGTCTTGGGAAACAGGAAAGATGTGTCCCTGTAGGATTATCCATTTATTTTATATGGTGTATTTTGTTGGAATCACCTGGAAAGCATGGTATCTTCAGTGCTGGAGAGTGAGACTTTGAAATGGGGTTGAGTATAGCTAAGCTGATTGACAGAAACTGTTGGGTTTGAAAGGGGTAGGAGGAAGGCTCCTCCCTGAGGAAGACATTCTGCTGATATAACACATTAAAATGGGGTTTTATGTGGCTCATGTGTGCAAAGGAGTCCGCATGCTTTTTCAGCCCAGGAAGGGCCTGCTGTTAGAAGCAGCTCTCCCACTAGCAGGACTCAGCTCTCCAAAGTAACAACGTGCCTTCATTGCCTCTCCCTAATAAACACATAAACTGAGGCCACCTCGAGCTTGCAGAACCTGCAATACTGAGCTCTGAGTGTATTTAAGAAAGAGCCGTAAGACCACAAAAACAGCAACACTAACTCCTTCGCATAAACAATGCACTAATACCTTGACTTAGTTTTAGAGTCTGTGTCTCTGCTAGTATTTGGTCTGATTTAAATAAATGGAGGCTGTGTACGCTTTTCCTCTCATGCAGATCTTTAGTGATCCCCCACAACTTAAAAATTAATGCTCTTAATACTATGTCCAGACTCAGCAATAATTTGTCTGTATGCATCCTTCTTGCCAAATCTCCCCTGCAGATTTGATTACATAAAGCACCATTCATTTCCTGGACTAAACCTGCTCTGTTATCTAGTGCCGTTCTAATACTACCCCGAACAGAAATGTAGTTTGGTTGTATATTCAGTGATCTCTATGTACCACACACATTTATTTCTTTGGTGCCAAAAAACCACCTTCCTGTCTGTGAAATACGCCATTTAAATCCTAACGTAAATCTTAAGAGATGGTAAAGTACGGGATATAAACCCCAAAATTAATATAACCATGCGTTCTAACAGGATGCCCTATCTTAGACAAAATGACAGGAATATTCATTATTGAAATTTCTAATTGGCCAGGATTTTCAGTACTCCCTACTGGGCTTGGTGGAGTTATTGCAACAAGATCCAGCAAAGCCAGTGTTGGGTTCAGTCATTCCTATTAACTTGCTGTCAACCCCAGGCATAGACCAAAGCTGGGGCCTCAGCTGGCTTTCAGCAGGAAGGTTTTAACACCTTGTCCTATTTTGTCATTCTTTGTGCATCGACATTACAAAGAGATTCCTCTAATTCAGTCAGTTGAACCTTCTGTGTCTCATTGCTCAAAAATAAATAAACAGACAAATAAAAAGAAATAGGCCCATTATATGGCAATGTATTGCCCTTGGCTCACTTGAGCTTTGGAAAGAAGCTGCCTCCTTCAAAACAGCCATGCTCCAAAAATACCAGTGTGCTTCACTAGGAGGTATGCTTGCTATTGACAGCAGCTTTGCCACATCATCGCACAGACATCTCCCTGCGGGGAGCAGCAGAGTTTGCTCCTGAGCAGCAGAGTGTGCCCCAAGTCCCTGGTTTAGCCATGCTCTAAAGTGCAATGAAGTTCCCAGCTGGGTCACTGAGGC